GGCTGAGTGAGTTGTAGTTTGTGTTGTGGTCCAACCGCACAACGGCGACTAAGCCTACTGACGGTCCTCCCCTCGGAGCTTAAGCATGGCTCCCCGCGAGTCCTGGCGTGAAAAAGCGTGTCAGGACAGCTCATGGGAGGCCGATCTGCTACTCCTCGAGGAGGCCCGCCGCCAGGCTGCCCTTCACGCCGTAAAGTATCAACAGGCCTTGCGCCGTTACCACAGTCACAACATCCGCCCTCGTACCCTCGAGGCCGGAGACCTCATCCTACACCGGATCCTCTCCAAAGAGGGGCTCCACACGCTCTCTCTTATGTGGGAAGGCCCATTCAAGGTTCCCCATGTCTCCATGCCAGGTGCAGCCCACCTGGGACGGGGTTCCTTCAACTCATGTTTGCATGTTGCACCGTGTACTTTGCCTATTCACTGAATCAAAAGTTTTAGTGAAGTATGCCCGATAGGATCACCATGCCTACAACCGGCGCAGCGAAGCTCGCAAAATACTTCTAGTATATATAATACTCCCTCTGTCCGGAAATACTTGTCAAAGAAATGAATAAAAATGGATGTATCTAGAACTAAAATATGTTTAAATACATCCATTTCTCCGACAAGTATTTCCGAACGGAGGGAGTATGAAACTACATTCCATAATGAATACAATGATATCGATTTTAATGTGAATGTTGATACTTTTTCCTATAAGTTTGGTCAAATCATGGATGTTTTGACTTCAGACAAAACTTATACGCAAACTAAAAAAAATCGGAGGGAGTACTTATAAACACGTCCCACGCCAATCCTTTTCAGGCACATGATCATGGCCTGTTCACGTAGAAATAAAAAAGACGTATGCCATCGTCGTAGTCAAAAAGTGTAGCTGCACTTTAGAGCATTTGGGTTAAAGATACAAATATAATGAGCAGGGCCTGTTCACGTAGAAAACCGAGCACGTACATCGTATTAACATATATATAAACTCAGCTTGAAGGGCAGCCATACAAGAAAGGCAAAGCCGACTCGAAACAAACTGAAACTTGCCTCCCAACGCATGTTGCACAATGAGAGTTAGGATTTACATAAAACAGTAACCCTACTCATCCTTAGGCCATGTTCGGTTGACAGGGTTGTGGAGGGGTTTTGACAGGGATTGAGGTGGATTAAATCCTCTACAAGTCAAATCCCCCCCAAATCCCCTCCAATCCTCTTAGGGCAGGGTGTAACCGAACAAAGCCTTAAGAGTAAACCGACATTCGGACAGGAGCTCACCGGGCATGCTAATAATAGCCAATAAGGCTCTCATCTCCAAAACATCAGTGAATGTGCCTGCTAACTGCAGACTCGCACATCAACATCAGTAAACTTCATTTCTTGGTTGGACTTGTATCACCAAACTTTGGTAGTGTCAAAAGCGTGTTCAACCAGGTGAAGCCCTCCAATGACCTCTCATCTCCACTTATATTTGGGTCACATTCATCATCGGCATCCTCTGGAATTACCCTTTTACTGAAGTGTTGGGGGGTCCTTAATCGCGGTGGCATCCCTGGACTAGATCCAATTCCCTTGCTAGCAACAGAAAGCCCTGATAACCCACCTGCAGCCGCATCTTTGCTCAGGAAAAGGCAGATCACTGCACAATCATCCGTTTTGGAGGTTGGGTACTTGAATTTCCAGGTCTGATTTGCTAGATCAACAACAGCACGAGCTGCGCCAGAACGGCCAGAGCATGAGGCAACAACTTCCACCACTTCCTGGTTGGACAGAACATCCCACACCTGTAACCAGAGTGCAATTGGGTATTAGAGTATATTAACAGATGGGCGGTGCATGTATTGAATCAGAAGAAACTATTGTTTCCCCATCGAGAACAAGTCACGCAGAAAGCAACAAGTTATTTATTTATTTTTGTTTGGTTACCCCATCAGTGGCAAGGACGATGAACTGATCCTTCTCCATGATTCGCCTATAGGTGACCTCAGGTACAGAGATCAGCCCAAAATCCTTTAGACAAAAATCACCAAAAGCTCGTGCCATTGCTAGGCCTGGAGAGTTGCAGTTAGGAAGCCAAAGGCGAGCCACATCTGGTTCATCCTGGTGAGCAAAGACCCGTCCATTACATCGCTTGATCCTCCTAGCCTCTCCTGTTAAGATATTAACATTTCGTTATGGCTCAAATAACATTCATCACGACAGTAGGAACAGATGTTTTTTAGGAGACAGGCTCAGAAGGGAACTAGTGTTTAGTTTGAACAGACATTAATAGACTAACCTACTAGAGAAAACGGTGCGTTCACCTAGCTACATGTCCCACACTGACATAAACAAAACAACCTTCATAACTGCAGCTAGAGAGGACCAACGATTGTCGCAAGGGAAACTGTTTCCCGGGTAATGAATCCGCACGGCACATTAGTAGATCAAAACCATATGGCACAAAGGTCAAACCATATCGGTAAAAAGCAAACTGACAAGTGCGTATATATACACCATGTTGCCTGTAATTCTAATTAGGAAGCATATAATTTCCATGATTACGAAAGCTTGTGGACATGATCAGAAAGGCACATGCTCAACTTAATGAGTGAGACAAGTGGTCACTACTCCATTAATTTCTTGCACATATCTTGATACAAATCGAGGGCTACTAGCTAGCTATGGTGTATACATAAAATGATTCTACAATCCTGGGAGTACCGCTCCTCACATATCACACAGATGAATCAATTATATCTCTTTATATTTTTAATATACTTCATTAATAATTACTGGATGCTCCAAAGTTACAAGAAAATTTCCATTTGAGACCATATATTTCATATTATTTGCACATAAACTGTTTTTAACGTAAAAATGGTATATTATTCAAACTAAGGGCTGCGATGATATATTTTTGTAAAACTTGTATTGAGGATCTTAGAATAATTAATAAGTTACATTAAGAATGATAAAGAGGTATGACAGATTTGTTTGGGAGGTATATTGAATATGGGAGTACATACTGCCAGGAGTCAAAAAATTAGTTCAGAGATATGTGTGTGTGTGTGTGTGTGTGTGTGTGTGTGTGTTTGTGTCTCTGTGTTAATTATATTTATATATACAAGACTAATTTTTTGTACTCCTAGAGGTATGTACTCCCACATTCAAATATACCTCTTAAACAAGCATATTATACCTCTTTATTATTCTCAATATACCTCAATGCAAGTTTTGCAAAAAAACATCACCGAAGCCCATAGTTTATGCAGTATACCTTTTTTACGTACAAAAAATGCAGTTTACTTGTAAATAAAATAAAATATGTGGTCTGATAATTTTCCATGAAACAGTTAACGATCGACTTTATCTACATTTTTAGGAGAGCCATCTACATAAAAGCATTCCAGCAGAGCCCCTATCCCATCCCCTATTCTAAATTTTAGAAATAGTGGTAGAAAAACTCCGCCTATGTTATCTCAACATAGCTGGTGCCAAGCCTGGGTAAAGGAGGAGGGTTGTGATAGACTTGGCGAGCCAACATCAAAACTCAGCCACACTTATGGAGATGGAACCCGGAAGGAAATGGACAAGGGTCGGGCCGTCACCCCCTTGGTGGTGCGCCATATCTTCATCTGGATACAGCGATAAGTGAGCAGGGACTGGGTCGTCTCATCCTTCGTGGCGCGCTACATCGACAACCGGTAGTAAAAAATGAGCAAGGGTCTTCGCATTTGACTCGATGTATGTGAAGGGTAAGGAAGCTAGCCAAGCCTAGTAGGATCCGCTTAGATAGCTGGAACGTAGGGCCCTTAATAGGTAAGTTACGGGAGCTAGTTGATACAACAGTGAGGATAGGTGTTGATATCCTTTGCGTCCAAGAAACCAAATGGAGGGGACAAGGCGAAGGAGGTGGAGGATACCGGCTTCAAGTTGTGGTACACGGGGACAACTACTGGCGAGAACCTCTTCATAGGAGGAGACCTCAATGGCCACGTGGGCACATCTAACACAGGTTTTGAAGGGGCGCATGGGGGCTTTGGCTATCGCATCAGGAATCAAGAAGGAGAAGATGTCTTATGCTTTGCTTTAGCCTACGACATGATAGTAGCTAACATCCTCTTTAAAAAGAGAGAATCACATCTAGTGACTTTTAGTAGTGGTCAACACTCCTGATTGATTGTGTCCTCTCGAGAAGAGAAGACAGGCGTGCTTGCCTAGACTGTCATGTGATACGTGGAGAGAGTGTTATCCCTCAACATAAGCTTGTGGTGGCTGACTTCCGTTTTTGGATTCGTGTCTTGCGGGATAAGCATGCCAAAGTCACTAGAACGAAGTGGTAAAAGCTTAAGGGGGAGGCAGCTCAGGCTTTCAAGGAGAGGATCATTAAGGAGGGCCGTTGGGAGGAAGGAGGTGCTCCGTCTTATTCATCCCCATTGAGGTGTGAAGAGGCCTCGGAGACATAGCGATAGTATGCTAACTAAGCTTTTCAACCTCATTTTTCGAGCAAACAAGGTATCAAAAGAATGGGGGCGGAGTATATTAGTACCAATCTTCAAGAACAAGGGGGAAGTTCAAAGTTGTACTAATTACCGTGCAACTAAGCTGATGAGCCATAGAATGAAGCTATGGGAGAGTCATTGAGCATACAAATAAAGATGATTGTACCATATCCATCATGTCAAACATAATATAGAAGTATCCACAACTAAAAACAAAACTGCTTTATTTCCAACTTTTGTTTCTGCAGTAAAAAATGTTGTGAAGTTACTACCATGGTTATCAGCAAGAACAAGGTGAAAATTCTAAGTCGTCACTCTTCAAATCTTAGGAATATAAACATATATAAAATGATTGGAGACAAGGAAGATATAACATACATTCTTGTTCTGAGAAAATGAGCAAGAATGTACCGATTCAGCAGCACCAGAAAAAGAATCATTCAATTAATGGCATCACATAAACAGTCACAAGTAGTAGGATTAAGCCAACACATTAAACAGAAGAGATATAATATAGAAGATTCATTAATTTAAACTTGAGAGTGAAAGATATTTACTTGGATGATCAGGTTTCAGGTCAACTGTCAACTGATGGGCAACCAAATGACCGTTCTGATCTCTAGTGCCTAATACAGCTCTAGAGTCACCTAGATTCCCGACAATAAGGTCCTGCCCCTGATGGTATAGAGAGAGAAAATCAATTGCTCATACCTGGAATTTTTGAGTAATTAAAGCCATTCAAGGAATAGGTTCCACTGTACCTGTTTAATTAAAGTAACTGCGGTAGTTCCACTGCAAATGCTATCTATGTTCCGATGTAATTTAAGCTCCTTATCCATAACTCTAAAAGCTTTTCGGAAAGACTCTTTCATTAAGTCAAAGAATTCTAGATGTTCTTCTTTCTGTGCGGTGAATGTGGGAGATTTGTCCTCTGCATCTGGGTATGGAGATAAACTCTCTTCTAAAACTGATCCATCTGAATTGCTGGTTGGGCTCTCTCCATAGTCACAATATATCAAATCACACAGCTTCAAAGGGAGAGTATCTCTTACTTTCCGCGCGACGAGATGTCCATGTGGACCATGACCATCAAAAACTCCACAAAATACTGTGTCTGATCTCCCATTGAAGTTCTGTACATCATGCCCCAAGGCATCCAAGAGCAAGAAAACAAGGAGGCAAACATCAATATCCATTTGTCAAGTATCTATAAAATTTAATGGAGAATGCTACAGCGCGAATGCAACGGCGATGTTGACAACCACCTGATGTCAATGCAACGCGACGTTGACATCCACCTCATGTCAATGCATGCTCACCCATCACACTTGCGGAGTCGGTCGTGCCACAAGACCAGGCTCCACGCGTTCACTCGATACAATTGGCATGATTTAATTCATAAAGAGTGTCGAAAGTGGAATGAGTTAGAAGAAAAGGTCACTATTCTGTTATTCTTTTGATGTGCACGCAACTGTTGGATTCAAATAAACGGTTCACACAAGGGGGTACTCTTTGACTGGGCGAGTCATTTATCTGATCCTGCATTTGCAAGCGTGCCTCATTCAAGCTTGGACAGTTTCATCTAGAACATAACCTCATGGCCTAAAACGCATAATAATCAATGGCCACCTTAACTAAGAGACAGCGTATGGGTAAGCAAGATGGTTGCCATATCCAACAAATAAGTCGTCATAGTTCATATGAAAGTATGGAAGTGGGAAAGATGGTGGCCAATACTTAATCCTCCATCAGTTAGAGCAATAAACATCTTCCATGAGCAACATTCATAGCCATCGAGTTGTTTCTTTTCAAATATCAAGCCGACATGTAGTCTCGTGTTGGCTAAAACAAGTTGGATCATTATGCCTTGTTTATCCTGTGAAAGCCCCTCAAGTTGTTGGCAATTCATATTTTTTATTTTATTAATGTATCATTTTAACTTGACGTTGCCCGATAAATAAACAACCCCTAATTGTTGACGATACTTCAACTCACAGAAAACTATTTTACTACGCAAGCTCATTAGTAGCCATTATCAAATAAAGAAGAAATGAACATCCAGAGCACCAAAAGTGTAAATAAAGGGATCTTGTTGTGCAGATACCTCCCACGCGACCATGGCGTCTTGGTTGGTGCCCTTCTTCCCCTGCCGCGTGAAGAGGCAAGCCACATTGCCAGTTCCAATCCCAGCAATCCTGCCGGGGGCCTCCTCCCCCCTCCTACTGCCTCCTCCCACCTTCCCGGGTAGTGCCGCCACCTCCGTCGGCCGCTGGCCTGCCGGCAGGCACGACCCCATCGCCAGCGCCCTCACCACATCCTGCAGGCAATCCAGGCACCCGCCTCCACCGCCCCCTCCCCCACCCCCCGACGACGGCGCCGCCGTCGCCGCCGCTGCCGCCGTTATAGCCGCCGTCTTGCCCCGTTGGTCACAGCACAAGCCACCCTCAAAGATTCAACCTCTGCGCAAACGCAACGCTGCCAAGATTTCGATCTTTGCGAGAGGGACAGTGGCGTTCTTTGATGGCGTCGTGGGCGACCAACCAGCACCAACGGGGACACGTCACGAGCTAACCAGAAAAGTAGAAAACGGAGGGCGGGATCGGACAAGAATAGGGAGGAAATCCGACAGCGAAAATGGGGACAAAGAAAAATAGCAAGGGCGCGGGGAAGAACAAGTGGCTCGGCGTGGTTTGGTGCAAGGGGATCGGCGGCCGGATCGGTCGGCTCCTTATGTGGACCCGAAACGTTCATACTATATTCTATAATACAAGACGTTTTTTGACACTAATATAATATTAAAAAAAATCTTATATTATAAGACGGAATGTACTGTCAAAAATGTTATATTATGGGACAGAGGGAGCACCTATGAGTATGAATATAAAAGAATATCATTTAGTTGACATCATATGATTTTTTCATTAATGTCTATTTTCCTTTCAAACAAGGAGGATATAGATAATAATTTTCTATTCCTACAAACCAAAGGTCTCGAAAAGAATTATTTCTATACAAATTCTATCCTACAAAATTTCTCCAAACCAAATGAGCCTTAGGGATCTTTGAGTCACGGGGCTTTAAAAAGATTAAAAAACATAAATGAATATAATAGTATTGCATGTGTAAAATATAAGATTATGAAACACAAATTTTTGGATAGTTGTATGTTTAATGTGTGAAAAAAGGAAACATACGGGTCCAAATAACACATAGTCAAATATATATATATATATATATATATATATATATATATATATATATATATATATATATATATTACCTACTAATAAAGTAAGGTGCTTGAATCAATATGTGATTGGATGGTTATAGGGACAATGGTATTTTCAGCCCACCAGGATTCAAATCATGATGCTCATATTATTTTTAGATTTATTTCAGGATTTTCGGCGATGCATTTTTAGTGGGGGGAGGCGCTTCGTAAATCTCAAGATGATATGCCGGCTCAGTCTCTCAAATGTGCTCATAGGGGTAGCCGAGCACGGTGTGCATGTGTGTGTTCATAGAGATGAGTATGTGTGTGTATGAGTGCTTACGTTTGTACTGTGTTAAAAAAATAAGGTGCGTTTCTCCGATTCTTTTTCATCCGTTCATCATTAAAAATATATTTTTTATTATCCGAGGTGGTACTAAATTGTACTCCCGAATTTCGTGTGTGGCTTGCACGAGCTGTAGCCCTACAAAGCAAGCTCACGCAAACTGGCAAAACCTTATTTCCCGCACTATGTAGCTTCTTCACTCCGACACCTTATTCAGTCTGAAACATTTCTTAACCCAATGCTAACGACTGATTGGATCATCCGATCCCTTTCTTAAAAAAAAGAATTATTACTACGTCCACATGGAGTAAAGGGAATTTGTTCAGAAAGCAGGAAAAAAACGCCTTTTTACGTCTACGCACTGCTAGAAGTTGAAACGATCACACCAGGTAGAACAGAGACGCTCGACAAAAGACGAGCAGCAGCCCCTGACTGCAGCCTCTGTTCCCTTTCGTACTCGATCTTCTAGCGTTCTCCCTGGATCTAGGGATGACAGTATCGATTGAATCGGGGCAAAGAGTCTAATCTTTGTACAGGGCGCCCATGATTGGTCCTGTCTATTTTCATTTTTATGTGCTCTATTTCTATTTTTATCTTTTGATTCTTTTTCTTTCTTTCATGTTTATCTTTTTCATTTTTCCCTTCCAAGTTTATTTTCCATTTTTCCTTCTTTTGTAATTTAATTTTTTTAGAAAAAATTCAAAATTTTAGTTTTTTCTAAGTTTTTGAAAAATATGTTCAGAAATCCAAAATTTTGTCCCTGTTTTGGAAAATGTTCAGAACTTTAAATTTTCTTCCAACACCAAAATTCGTTCAAAATTAAAACAAAATGTGTTTTACAAAATTGTTCAAGATTTATTACATAAAATTGCATTTGAAATATGTTCCAAATTTGAAAATTTTTGTGTCGTAATAAAATGTTCACAAATTCATAAAACAATTGCGTTTAAAAAACACATTTTCTAAAATTGTTCTCAATTTTCGAGAAATATACCCGTGTTACAAAATTATTTTAAAAAATCAAAAACTTCCCGTATTTAATAGAAGGTTCATATTTTCACAAACTGTTTGTGAATTTTAAAAAAAATCTTTCCGTTTCAAATTTGTTTGTCTTTCTCAAAAATTAATAGAATTTTCAAAAAAAAACTCTTCGTGCTTTGAAAAATGTTCAGGTTTCAAAAAATGTTCAAGTGTCCAAGAATATTAGGCAATTTATAATTATTAATATGGTTTTTGGAAATAAAAAAATGCTCAAGTTGCCAAGAATATTCGTCAGTTCATAATTATTAATATAATTTCTGAAAAGTTCTTAAAAATTAAAAATGTTTTGAATATGGCAATGAAGTATGTTCTTGAACATTCGTGCTGGCTATTAGTTAGCAGGACCTATTTTTCGACTGGGTAATAAAATGTGGTCATGCGAAGCTAGCCCGCGCAGCTGGCAAAACCTAATTTTCCGTGCAATGCGGCAAAACGTGTAAGCCTCGCAGAGGGCGCCCAAGACTGGGCCATTCCGTTTTCCTATTTTCTGTGCTTTTTCTCTATTTTTTTCAGTTTCCTTCTCTTTTTCTTTCCTGATTATTTTTCCCTTCCAAGTATATTTTTAGATTTTTATTTTTTGTAAATTAAAACTTTCAGACAACATTTAGAATTTCAATATTTTTCAAGTTTTCGATAAAAATGTTCAGCAATACTAAATTTTGTTCCCGTTTTGAAAAATATTTGCAACATTAATTTTTTGTCCTCGCACCACAATTTGTTCAAATTCAGAAAATGTTTGTGTTCTCCAAAAGTGTTCAAGATTTTCTAAATAAAATTGCATTAAAAAAGTTTCAAATTAGAAAATATTCTCGTTGTAACAAAATGTTCACAGATTATAAATAATATTCTTGTTTAAAGAAGCACATTTTCTAAAATTATTCTCATTTTTCAAAAAATGTTTCCATTTTCCGAAACTAATCAAAAATTCAGAAAATGTTCGTGTTCTTATAAAAGGTTCATGTTTTCAAAAAAGTTTGCGAATTTTAAAAATAAATTCCTGTTTCAAGTTTTGATCATCTTTTCCCAAAACTGAATGGAATTTTCAAAAAACTCTTCGTGTTTTTGAAAAGGTTTGGATTGGAAAAAATGTTCATATTTCCCATAATATTAGGAAATTTTTAATTCTTATGCAAAGTTTAGAAAAATCAAAAAAGTTTTGAATCTGGTGGTGCACTATGTTCTTAAACATTTGCGCTGGCCATTATTTAGCAGGGCCCATATTTTCGAATGGGTGGTGACACGTGCTCAAATTTTCAAGGCCTTGTGTAGCAAGTCCACGCAACTAGGAAAACCTTATTATGCGGACAGTGTGGTAAATAGTCTAAGCTTCACATAGGGCACCCAAGATTGATCGGCCCGTTTTTTTATATGTTCTATTTCTATTTTGTTTTCTGTTTCTTTCTCTTTTTCTTTATCTTTTTATTTTCTATTTCTTTCTTTCTTTTTTCCCTGCCAAGATTTTTTTTCTTTTTTCCTTTTTTGGTAATATAATGTTGTGAGAAAGTGTTCAGAATTTCAATTCTTCCAAGTTTCCAAAATAAATGTTCAGAAATCCAAAATTTTGTTCCCTTCTGAAAAAATGTCCAAAACTTTTAATTATCGTTCTCCTACCAAAATTTGTTCAAATTCAAAAAATAATTGTGCTTTACAAAATTGTTCTATATTTTCTAAACAAAATTGCAGTTTGAAAAATGTTCCAAACTTGAAAATATTGTTGTTGTAATGAAATATTCACAAATTCAACATAGTTTAAATGTTTGCATAGACACATTTTCTAAAATTGTTGTGAATGTTCAAAAAAATATTCTCATTTTAAGAAATTATACACAAATTCCAAAAATGTTCTTCTTTTTATATAAGGTTCATATTTTCAAAAACAATGTGAATGCAAATTTGGTTCTTCTTTTTATGAAAAATTCTTTGCATTTGAAATTTTGTTTTCAAAAAATCTTTTCGTTTCAAATTTTGCTTGTCTTTTCCCAAAAGTGAATGGAACATTTAAAAAACTCTTCGTGTTTTGGAAAATTGTTCAGGTTTCAAAAAAGTTCAATTTTCAAGAATATTAGGCAATTTTTAGTTATTAGTATAATTTCTGAAAAGTTCAATGAAATCAAAAAATGTTTAGGTTTCCAAGAATATTCGGTGATTCGTAATTATTAATATAAATTTTGAAAATATAAAAAACCAAAAACCGTTTCAAATGTGGCGCTACAGTATGTTCTTAGACATTAGTGCTGGCCATTAGTTGGCAGGACCTATTTTTTCGAGTGGGTAGCAACACGTGGTCATGTTTTTGAGGTCTTGCGAAGCCAGCTCATGCAGCTGGGAAAAACCTTATTTTCCGGACTGCGGCAAATAGTCTAGGCTTCACATAGGCCGCCCAAGATTGGACCGGCCCGTTTTCTTTTTTTTATGTGATATGTTTCTATTTTTCTTTTGCTGTTTCTTTCTCTTTTTCTCTCCTGTTTATGTTTTATTTTTTTCCTTCCAAGATTATGTTTCTTTTTTCCTTTTTTCTAATTAAAATTTCATAAAATTTTCAGAATTTCAACTTTTTCAAGTTTTTGAAAAAGACGTTCAGAAATCCAAAATTTTGTTCCCTTAATTAAAAATGTCCGGAACTTCAAATTATTGTTCTCGTACCAAAATTTGTTCAAAAAATTTATGTTTTCCAAAATTATTCAAGATTTTCTAAATA